AGCAGACCAGGAGGCCCGACCTCTTCTGGAGCTCTCATTTATCACAGCCATTGGCGAAATCTGGCTTCAAGCATGTGCGTCCCAGCAACAGAAGCCTCCCGCTCAGGTCCGCTTTCCGTCATTTGGAACATCCTGGGTGAACCGGGAGAGACCAGGAAACACCAGCTTCTGTGCCTCCTGGGATGGTTTCCACCTTCTCCACTGTGGGTTTGAAAGCCTGCAGGAGGCAGCGGGCCCAGGTCTGCAAGGGAAGGCTGAGGAGCCAGCTGGCCCCAGAACGTAGCTAACTGGGGTCTGGGTTAGGCACTGCTTACAAATCTCAGCTCGGCCACGAATACAATCTGTGACATAGGGCAAGTTCCTTGAGCTTTCCAAGTCTCAGTCTCTTCATCCATAAAATGGGGACACTGATGCCTACTTGTGCTGTCATGATGGTGTGTATGTATAAGCATTTACGTGTGTTCATGTGTATATGTATGCACACATGCACGTGTTCACACACTGCATAACACTGCCTGGTAGGTGGAAGGACCTCATTAATGAGGCATGAATGAATGAGCTAATAACCTAGGATGTCGGCTCAGCTCAGGAGGAGGGCGTGACTCACAGGGGCATGTGTTTGTGTGCATCTGTGTGTATGATCCAGGGAAATCGCTTCTTGTGCTTAGAGTCAGAGGCTCTGGAATCTGGGGAGCTTGAAGGGAGGGCCACGTCTGTTTCACAGCCCTGGCTGATAGGGATTCTTTGTGTTTCTGGTCACTTCCGTGGGTTCTTGACTGGGAGAGGAGTTTATGGCAGAGACTGGCCATTTTGAAACAGAACCAACCGATCCTTTTAGTGTTAACAATTCCTGAACAACTTACTGAATACCACTCCTCAGCACTGTGTTGGCGGCGCCCTGGGAAAACAGCCAGCCAGTAAGCCAGCGTTCAGATTGCTACCTGACGACCCGTTTGCTGAGAGCCCCTGGCTGGGAAGGAAGGTACTGGAAGGAAGGGAGTCTTGGAAGGGAGAGAGTGGCTGAGAATTGCACCCCTACACATGCTCCCTGCCTGGAGAACAGAAGCTGACCCAGGTTTAAGACCTTGTTTGAAGTCATGGCTCTGTTCCTTGCTTGCTGTGTGACCTCAGCACAGCAACCTCTCTGAGTCAGTTTCCTTGCCTATAAAATGACAGATTGTTAGGAGGACTAAGTGGGATAAAATATATAAAGCACATTGTTGGTGCTCAGTAAATAACGTGTTCTCCTGGGGAGGGAAGAGGCCCTAGAGAGCCTTTGCCTGAAACCAGGGTGTCTGCTGGCACGCAGGGGCCCAAACACAGCGGGCACCTGCTGAATATTTATGGGAAGAATGAAGGTGTGCAGAAGTGGGAGGCCTGAGTCGCAGGGCTTTTCCTGCCATTAGTAATTGCTGTGTGATCTTGGGCCAGTTCTTCATCCCCTTTGGACCTCTGATTCCCTCAGAAGAAGAATCCAGGCTGATGGCCTCAACCCCTGGTCTTCCACTGTATTGGAAATCGGGTGTGTGGGAGCCTCCAGAGCAGGATGAGCTTCATGTTTGAAATTAATTTCCTTTCCTCAGCCGGCGGCATCCCTGATGACTCTCCCCTGCTGCATTGTGCATGAACAAACCGGTAATTAATGAAATTGGGAGCAGGGGCATGGAGGCGAGGTTTCCCGTGGAGGCAGCTGGGGGCCTACTGGGGCAGCCTCTGTGCCACCCACTGGGAGGCCCAGGGCTGCCCAGAAGCTGCCATCTCTGTCTAGCCAGGGGGCCTGGCAGATGTTCACACATCTGGACAGTTGCAAAGTGAGGCCTGAAATATCATAGATGGGGAGATGGGGAGTGAATTCTCCAGCTTCTCCTGGGCCTGGGGAGCCATTTTCCAGGGAGGGCCTTGGGAACCTTCTGCTGTTGGGTGTTGAGCTGAGCCTGGAGTAGGAATTGGGTGGACCTCGATTTTCAGCCTTTGCTCTCTTGACTTCTAGTTGTGAGGCTCGAGGCAGCTCACTTAACCTCCCTGGGTCTTTGCTGTGAAGAGAATGGAGGCCATGGGAGCAGCTGCCCCCTAGTCATGGGGGGATTGGCGTAGAAAGGCAGCTTTGATTTGCATGTCCTCACCCCAGGGGGCTCATCTGGAAGGAGACAGTTACTCTCAATGGCCCTTTTCCTGATTCACACCCCCCCCACTTCAAAATTCCCCTTCTACTTTGTGCCCACTTTGTATATATGACTGTCCACTCCTCGGCTTAGGCCACAAATGTGGGATCATCTTTGACCCCTCTGTCTGCCTTACGCCCTGCAGCTAATCCGCCTGCACGTGCTGCTGGCTATACCTTCAGGGTGCAATGTTGTCTCCCTGCTTCGCTATTACCTGTCACTGGGGTGACTGCAGGAGCCTCCTCCCAGGCCTCCCTGCCTCCACCCTTCCCCCTTAGTCTGTTCTGCTCACAGCAGCCAGTGGGATCTCTGAGAACCGCCTGATGCACACATCCCTCCCTGCTTAAAGCCTGTGGTTGGGTGTCTTTTATAATCAGCTGGATCTGTTCTGATATCTTTAATATACCCACCTGGGGGAGCTGGGCACCTGTCTGACCTCACTTTTTGCAGTCCACAAGCTAGCTTCTGCCTCCTGCAGAATCACTGTCCTGCTCCCTCCTAAATCCCCTTCCTCACTGACCAAGCTATTGTGCCTCTTAATTTTGCTTTCAGACCCCTTTGTCCAGAATGTGTCTCTTACCCCTCGGACTCCTGTTGATTCTTGCAGGTGTGGTCACGACGTCCATGGCTTTCCAGAAGCCTTCTCTGATTTCCCCTGCTGTCCACCCGCAACTATCTGAGCCAGGGTCCCCTTCCCGGTACCCACTTCAGTCATTGTCCACCCCATCAGTGCTGTGATGCTCTGGGAGGACATCACCCACGACGATGTACCTTTATTCTCACACATGCTGCAAAGCCAGACAGCACAGGAGTATTAATTTAGGCAGTAAATGCAAAGACCTCCCTGCAAATTAAGGGCCTTCAGACCCAGACGGACTGGAGTAGGATCCTCAAACTGTGGTTTGATTTGGCTGTGTGACCTTGGACAAGTCACCTAGCCTCTCTGAGCTTGGGGGGTCACGAGGATTGACGAGATGACATGTATAACAAACATCCTCCTCTTTCCCACTTGCTGGATAGTCATGTTTCCAAAGACACTTGGAATGTTTAACCCCTCACATTTGCTCTGAGCAGAGCAGACTCAACAATGCGCACAAGGAGCCCACCACAGAACCCCAAACAGGAGCAAAAATAGCAGCCATCAGGGCAACCTGAGTTGCAGAAGCCACAGGAAGAAGCCGCAGGCCAGGCGGATGTCAGCTGCTCTGAGGCCCCGCTGAGGTTCCTCGGATGTGCCGAGCTATGCAGCCCTCACGCCTGCCCTCGCTGGCTCCCCAACCACAGCATCAGATAAGGCCGGTGGAAAAAGTGCTGGCTTCCTCTCTCTGGGGAGGGGTAATCTCAGTGCCATCTGTAGGGCACACTCCATCCCCAGTTGCCTCTCTGGCCTCCCCTCCCCCTGCTTGCTCTGCCCGTCTTTGCTGGTCTCTTTGCTGACCAAGGTCACACCTGCCGGTGGCTCCCATCTTAGGGCTTGTACACAGGTTGCTGGGCCCTGGAATGCTGTCCCCAACACATCTGCTAGGCTCACTCCCTCACCTCCTTCCAGTCATGGCTCCACTATCACTTCCTCAGTAAGGCCCACCTTGACTGCTCTGTTTAAACTTGCATACCCTCCATCTCGACGTTCCCAATACCCCTGACCTGCTCAACTCTTTCTTTCTGTAGACCATGAAAGTCACTTATTGACTATGTATTGTTTTCTGTCTCCAGTGCAAGAGCGTCAACTCCAGGGGTCTTTGTTCATTGCTGTCTCCCAGGAGCCCAGAATAGTGCCTGGCACCATTAGATGCACAGCAAATATTCTTTCAGTGCATGGATGCATGAGTGCATGAATAAGAACCAGCCCAGCAATCAGAAGAGGTTCAGGCCAGATTTTGGGGTGAGGGGGGTTTGTTTCTGGGCTCCAGGCCCCAGGGATGGGCTCACATAGTCATTGAGGATTCTGGCCCCAGGATTCACCTGCGCTGGCCAGAAGCCCCTGCTGACCTTCAGGGCGATAGCTGTCTGGGGCCAGAGAAGCGTCCGGAAGCCTATGGTCCCCTTCAGGAGCGACCCTTGCGGTAGTTAAGAGTTTGCTTTGGAGCCACGTTGTTGTGGGTTTGAATCCCAACTCCACCACTTCCTAGGTAGAGAGCCTTCACCTCCACCTCTCTGTATTTGAGTTTTCTACCTTTAAAACAGAGTAGATAGGCCGGGCGCAGTGGCTCATGCTTGTAATCCCAGCACTTTGGGAGGCCAAGGTGGGCAGATCACTTGAGGATGGGAGTTCAAGACCAGCCTGGCCAATATGGTGAAACCCCGAATCTACTAAAAATACAACAAACAAACAAACCCGGGTGTGCTGGTGCACACCTGTAACCCCAGCTACTCGGGAGGCTGAGGCAGGAGAATTGCTCGAACCCAGGAGGCGGAGGTTGCAGTGAGTTGAGATCACGCCATTGCAATCCAGCCTGGGCAACAAGAGCAAAACTCTGTCTCAGAACAAAACAAAGAAAAGTAGCGAATTCCGACCTTGCTTGGGTGGTGATTATGAGGGTTACATGCAATGTAGGTAAAGTGCTTGGCTCATGGTAGATGATCAGCACATGATCATTGCTATTCAATTTATGTGTTTTTTAGAGAAAGGGTCTTGCTCTGTCACCCAACCTCTAGTGCGGTGAGATAATAATAGCTCACTGTAGCATCAAACTCCTGGGATCAAGCAATCCTCCCATCTTAGCCTCCTGATGAGGACTACAGGTGCATACCACCATGTCTGGCTAATTAAAAAAAAAAAATATATATATATATATATGTTTTTTAAGAGACGGGGCCTTGCTGTGTTGCCCAGGCTGGTGTCAAACTCCTGATCCCAGCTATCTTCTCGCCCTGGCCCCCCAAAGCTCTGGTATTATAGGTGTGAGCCACTGCACCTGGCCTAAACCTAACTGAGCATGTTAGGGTTTTGATGCCGTAACAACCCCCTGAATCTCAGTTGCTTATAAGGAAGGCTTATTTTTGCTCTTACTACATGTTCCATGACAATCAGCAGAGAAGGAAGGGTTGGGCTTTGCTCCACAGATCACTCAGGGCTGTAGGTTGGCCAAGTCTTGATCATCTGGAACCTTGCTGGTCCTCTAGAGAGAGCCTGCAGATCTCAAGTTTGCTTTTCTATACTTCCACCCAGAAGGAGACAACGTGGGTTGTTTCTGCTCATAACCCATTGGCCTAAACTAGACACATGGTTCCAATAAATGGCAAGGGGAGCCCGAGGTGTAGTGTCCTGTGTGCCAGGAAGGAGAGGAAAGCCAGATATTGGAGAGCAGTAGTCAAGTCTACCACAGCAGGTGCTTCCCACTCTGCCTTCTCCAGACATATAGGTGGATTGAGACACTACTCACAGGACTCACTGTGGGTGGTTGAATAATGACCCTTAAGTATAGCCAGGTCCTAATCTTTGAAACCTGTGTATGTTGCTTTAAATGGCAAAAGGGGCTCTGCAGATGTGATTAAGGATCTTGGGATGGGGAGATTATCTTGGGTTGTCCGGGTGGGCCCTGTAGAATCACAATGGTCCTTGTAAGTGAGGAGGGGGTACAGAGTCAGGAGAAGGTAATGTGAGGATGGAAAGAGAGACTGGGGTGATGTGCTATGAAGATGGAGGAAGGGACCACAAGTTAAGGAATACAAGCAGCCACTAGATGCAGGAAAAGGCAAGGAAATAGATTTTCTCCTAGAACCTCCAGAGCAACCAGCCCTGATGACACCTTGGTTTTAGCCCAGTGAGGTTGATTTTAGACTTCTGACTTGCCAGAACTGTAAGAATAATTTTTGTGTTTTAAGCCACCCGTTTACGGTGATGTGTGACAGCAGCCCTAGGAAACTAATATATCACCTTCAGGCAGAAAATCATTTGAAACCCACTGCATAGAAGCCTCCTCTGTCTGCTCAGACAGGACCGACCCTTTCCTCCTGTCTCTTGTGGCGCCCATTGCACCCATCTGTCATCACGTTCATGCACAGGCAGAGGTGTCTCTTAACATAGTCCTTCCACTCCCAACCCCCATGCTCCAACATGCACACGCACACCCTCAGCCACTCTTTGAGCCTCTCATTGCTCGAGCTGATCCGGGTTGGTGTTCGTCCACGTCTGTAGGAACGCAGGGCAGGCCGGTGGCAAGGTCAATATAAAGAACTTGTCTCTAGGCAAAGGGCCCTGGCATGCCCCAGAAGTGGCTCAGTTGGCGGAAGAGTAGAGGCCCCATGGGAGATGGTGGGAGGGTGAAGGATGGTGAAATCAGCAGGGACCAGGTCGAGCAGGACCTTGAAACCAAGAGATAGAGGTGAATCTTTGTTTTGAAGACAGAGGGGAGCCTTAGAAGGGTTTCGGGCAGGGGAGCGACTATGGATGACTGATGACTGAGCTCTCCTGGTTTGTGACTAGGTTAGAAGACTGTCTTTGTCCTCCCATCTTCTGGAAGTCAACTCTATGCCAGACACTCCTGAGCTATGCTTTTCATAGGATTTCTCGTGCATTCATTTTATAGAGGAGAAAGCTGAGACTCAAGGAATGGAACCTCATGGAATCCATCCTCCATGTGGCTAGCTGAGTCATCTTTTAAACTATAAATTAATGCATGTTACTCCCCTGCAAGAACTCTCCAAGGGCTTCCCATTTAGGATGAAATCTGAGTGCCTTATGGTGGCCCTAGGACCCCATGTCACGTCCTTGCCCCGCACCTCTGCCTACTGTGTCCTGCGCATTATTCCCCCTGCATGTGAGAGCTTCTACTTGTGGACCTCAGGGACTTCGCGTTGCTGCTCCCTCTGCCTTACATGCTCCCACCCACGACTTGTTGCCTGACAGCCTCCTCCTCTCCCTTCCGGGCTCCCTCAGTTTAATTGCGGCCTCTACAGAGAGACCCTCTGTCTCTGCACTTCCTGTGTTTGCTGCACAGCACTTAGCACGATACAATGTGTGACCACCTTTGTGTGTTTGCTTGCTTGTTGCCTGCCTCCTGCGGTGGACTCTGAGGCCTGCAGGGGCTGGGACTGTGTCTACCTTGCTTCTTGTTGTGTCCCAGCCCCCAGGACAGGACCTGGCTTGAAGTGGGGCACTCAGCAAACCTCTGCAGAAGGATGAAGGATGCGTCCTGGGTGCAGAGGATGCGGGGAGCTCTGGACCTTTGAGGGTGGCTGAAGGATCCTGGACCTGCCTCAGAGGACAGACACCATGCAGGGGCCAGCTGAGGAGGAGTGCCAGTGGTTTCTCTGGGCACCTGGGAAGCCCCATTCCTGTTGCACCTGGCCTTGACCCACTCCCTGTGCTGTCCACATTCCCTGTCACGTTAAACGCTCTGCCTGCCATTTCAGCCTCTGGGAGGATCCATGAGGGTGTAGGGAAAGACATCAGACCTGGGTTTAGATCCCAGTTCAGCCACTTAATAGCTATGAGACCTTGCACAGTTTCCTTTAATTTTCTGAGCCTCAGTTTCCTCCTGTGTAAAATGGGCATACAGAGGGACAGTCTCCTAGCACATGAGTCCTGGTGCTTGATTCAGCTTGAAACTGCCTCATCTGCAATCCAAAAAACCCTGCAACCAGAAGTTGTTTTATATGCTGCAAACTCATTTGGCCCCAAAATCTGACCTGAGCTGACGCGAGGCGCTTTGTCATCTTTACTTACCCCCCTTGTGTGAATATTCATATGTTCCACTGCAGAAATAGGAATGTGTTCCATTGCAGGTGTTGCCTGAGGCTCCACTGAAGCTATGGCATAATTTGCAGAATTTGCACTTCATTACTTTTCTGAAATTCAAACAAATTCTGAAACTGCACGAGTTCTGGCTGAGAGCTGTGGATCTGTGTATGTGAGTCGCTGCCGAAAACCCTCCTGGGGCACAGGAGGGCCCATGGAGGCCTCTGGAAGCTATTGCAGAGCCTGAAACCCCGCGTTTCCCCTTGGCTGGCTTCTGGTTTCTCGGCAGCCAGTGTCTTCTTAGCCACCTGGGGTTATGTTGGTTTTGCTGGTTCAGGGGCAGGGGTTAAAGCTTAGGGCAGGGTGAGCCCAGGTACTCAAACATTTCTGATGTGAATTTAAAAGGAGATTTTTTTTTTTTTAAATGAATCATCAGAAGAAAGAAATCAGAAGGAAGTGTGTGACCAAGGAGAGGAAATTAGGGTTTGCAAATTGCATGAGTCACCCCCTTTCTGACTCCTGGGTGATCCCTTGCCCTTGGCAATTTTCACTCATCTCTGAGACTCTCAAGGCCGTATTCTACACAACATGCTGGGGCTGTCGTGGTTTTATTCTGGCTCCAAACCTGCTTCTCATTCTAACCATCAGTATAAATTTCTATTTTTGAATGACTGCCACACTGTTTTACTTATTGCGTTAGCCAGTGTTTCTTCCCTGCCCAAGCCCTGCTCAGACTCCTGTTTCCCCATCTTAGCATCTGCAACCCATTCTCCACCCAGAAACCAGAGGCCAGTTTCTGAAGTGCAGCTCACGTTCTGGGCTTCAGTCTCACCTCCCCAGTCTGGCCCTTGAAGCTCCCTTGTGATAAGGCCCTGCTTGCCTTTCTGTCTTATCTTGCACCACCTTTCTACTCCATGAATGGGCCCTTCCCTGCAGCTGCCAGGCTTTGGTGAATGCTGTTCCCACTGGCCTCTGCCCTCGCCTGGCTAGTTCTGTGCATGTCACGGGTAGATCCGCTTTAGAAACCACCTCTTCCATGAAGTCCTTTTACAAGGCCCTTTTCTAGGCCCCACGAACCTGGCTTCTCATCGACTTATCACCCACCCATATTCTGATTCCTGGTCCTGTCCCCTTCCCTAGACCATGAGCTCCAGGACAAAGACTCTGTGTCCACCAGTTGCAGTGGCTCATGCCTGTAATCAATCCCAGCACTTTGGGAAGCTGAGGTGGGTGGATCACCTGAGGTCAGGAGTTCGAGACCAGCCTGGCCAACATGATGAAACCCCATCTCTACTAAAGATACAAAAATTAGCCAGGCATGGTGGCACACGCCTGTAATACTTGGGAGGCTGAGGCAGGAGAATCGCTTGAACCCGGGAGGCCGAGGTTGCAGTGAGCTGAGACCATGCCACTCCACTCCAGCCTGGGTGAGAGTAAGGATCTGTCTCAAAAAGAACAACAAAAACCAAAGAACTGTGTTTTCTGTATATCACTTTATCATCCCCAGCACTCAGAGTAAAAGACTGTTTTAAGCAAGACTGGTTTAAGCCCTCGAGTCCTCGTCCCCTGCCTCTGGCTGGCTGTGTCTGCCTAAGAGTGGCCGCCATATTGTCTTCCGTTAAGCTGGAACGTGTTTCCCGTGTCAGCAGTGGTATGAAATATCCCAGTTGCATTGCAGTAAGTTTGTTGTGTGTGCATTTCCCCACTTGCCATTGAATCAGGTGTCCCTTTTTCCCTTCCATATTTGTTTCTTAAGATAACACCTCTTGCGTGACTTTTGTTTGAATCCCATGTCTTTCTGTCTATTGGCATCTTGTTTTCTGTTTAATTTGACTGAGCTATTTCCACCTTGTATATATTAACTGTCTTAGAGTTGGTGCTGATATTTTCTTAGTCTGATGTCCTTTTCATTTTGGTTTTATTATGTTTTCTTCCACAGAAGATATTAATGCATATATATTTGAATCTGTCAATCTCTCTTCCTCTGTGATTGCTTTGAGGACTGAAGAAGTTATCCTGCCTCCACAGATCTGATAAACATTCTGTTCTGTTTTCTGATTGTTTCCCTGTAGCATGACTTTTTATACTTAACTCTTTCATCTGTGTGGAGTGCATTTTGGTGGGTGTCTTTCTGTGGATATCCAGTTCAGTGTTCCTAAATAGGAACAGGATAACCCTCTTGTCCCCATTCTGTTTATTAAATAATTAGTCCTTGTCTCTGTTTGCAAAAGGCCAGACAAAATAGAGTAGCTCTTATAAGCATGAGCTTTAGCAGAATTAAGATTTTGGCCTTGCCACTTTGTGTGAGCTATGAGCACATTGCTTAGATTGAGCTTGTTTTTTCCTCTATAAAACAGGATGATGATATCTGCCTCCTAGGATCGTTGTAAAGATTGAGCAGAAGATCTTGTGTAAAGCACATCACACGTTACCTGGCATAAAGTAAATGTCCTCCTTAATCTTGATACGTTTCCGTACCTGACTGGGTCCAACATTGTACTTTTCCTTCTGTTTCATTGATTTAAAATTCTTGTTTTCGGTTACTGCCACACTGCTTTAATTGTGGCTTCATGGAATGTTTCACTGTCTGGCCAGATTGGGCATCCTTCCGCTGCTCTTTAAGAATATTGCTTTAAACACGCACCTGTTTTCTTTAGTGGATGTTGATTTTCTCTCTCCCATTCTGTACTGTAGCCCACCTCAGTGACTTCTAGACACCCCTTCTCCCCGCTCCCCAGCACACACACTGGTTTCCTCCACACCTGGCTGCCTAGTCTTTGCTTACTCTGGACTCACTGCCTCACAGGTACGTACCGACTGCTCTCATCTGGCGTATCTCCACCTTAGTGCTTTATCACCCCTCCGGGTGTCATCGTGCAGATACCCATTTTCCCTATGGATCTGAGCTTCCCTGGGAATTGGTTCTAGGTCCCTAGTGCCCCTCTGCAGCTGGCATGTGGCCACGTACATTGTAGGTGCTGAGGTCAGGGCTTGGGGAAGACAGGAATGTTCACTGTGCCGTTGGACTTTTGACAGTAACTGGGCTAAATCTGGCTGCTTCTGGAGGTGCAGGCTTAGAGGACCCAACAATTTGGCGGTTGTAACTCTGGACATGCTGTTGCCAATAACGGTGGGCCGTCTATCAGCTCTGGCCTTGGTTTCCCCAGTGGGATTTGCAGAAGCCAGAGGGTTAAAACCCTCCCAGCCCTGAGGCCTCATTATTTCTCTTAGAGGGTCCATAGTAAAGATGAATTAGAATAACTCATTGGCACATGCTATGCCTTCGAGTGCAGTTTCCTGATCTCTGGGAGAGAAAAGGCCTCTCAGGACAGAGCCCCCCACTGCCCTCCTGGGTCTCCAGGAGACAGCCCAGATCTGGATCAGAGGGGTTCAGCAGTCAAGAACAGAGGGGTGGCTCTCTGCCTGGGAAGGCAACTGGGGTGAAAGCAGGGAGCTAGCCTTTCTCTGCACACTGCTAGGTAGCTTGCAAAACCCTGCCCGTTCCATTCCTTCTCCAGAGGAGGAATCTGAGGATGAGAGAGGTAAGATCCCTGCCCACTGCCATGCAGCAGCTAAGTGCAGGGCCTGGACTTGAACTTAGATCTGCCCGCTTCCAGAGCTGTGCTTCACCAGTGTTCTCACAGCTCCCAGTCCAGAGGCCGATGTTGAGACGGCGCTTAAAAATACACCAGCAGTGTTTACAAATACCGTTTCCTGTGTTATCTGGTACTGATAGAAGGAAGTGAACCTGGCACTTTGTCTGTGTTAGGTTTGGGGTTAGAGGCATAAGTGCCAAGTTCAGATGACCTAGAAAAACATTTCTAGGTCAAATTACAATTTCAAAGATTTCTTTTCTTCTTCTTTTTGAACCGCTCTAAGAGCGAACGCTGTCGTTGACATATTTCCCTTCCGACAACACGAGCCCTTTGTGGCGTGATTGAGGGCTTGTTTTGTAGTGCTGGGGAGAAAAATATCTTCCACATCATCTGCTGCTCAGTGTCTCAGGCACACTCGCTCCCCCCACACCACAGTGCCACCGACGTACGCTCACGTGGCTTTTAGTTAATGGTCTTTGGCAAGAATCAGTTTTGGGACTTGTTCCCAACCGCTTGGATGATAGATAATTGTCAAATACAAATATTGGCAGCACAGGGCAACCTGAGGCTCTAGACTGCTGACCGCAGCCCAGCCTCTGGGGAGAGCCGGGAGCTGGGCAGCTGCATGTTTTGGGAGGTAACGGGGCAAGACCTGGCAGCAGCACAGCCTTCTCATTACAGTGTAGGCTCTGGAGTTGAACTTCCTGGATTTGAATCCTCACTCCACCCCTTCCTAGCTGTGTGGCCTTGGGCAAGCTACATAACCTCCCTCGCCTCAGTCTCCTTATCTGTACAATGGGAGCCTCAGTAACTTACCTCCCGAGGTGGTTGTGAGGATTACAGGAATGGATATTTGTCATTCAATTAAGAGTGCCTGGCTTGTCATCAGTGTGATGTAAACACTGCACACATTCGTTCTAAGGAATAAACGATCGTAGCCATAGTGGATGCTGTCGTGTGTCACCCTAGTCCCTCCTTAGATCCAGGCACACGTTGTGTCTGCCGCTTAGAGTGCTGGCTGCCGCCCCTATCAGCTGAGCCTCTCTCTGGGCAGCTCCATGGTGCCTTTGGTGGAAAGAGGAAGCTTTGGCCAAGGTCATCAACACTTGCCCCCTGGGCATCCTGGATCCAATGGCCATCCCATGTGGGGATACACAGTGCTTAGCTCCCTGCCTCAAACTGGGACACCTCTGCTGGGCCATCCCAGTTCCAGAGCTCCCCTTGGGACAGGTGGAGGCGTCTGTTGTGACTGCATCACAGTTTGACTTGTCCCTCTGGCCTGGCCTGCTCCCCCACTCTCTTATAGCACTTCCCAGTACATTTCTTGTCTGTAGATTTCACCCTCAGAGTCTGTTCGGTACCTGAAACAACAGGTAGCTATCCAGACACTGAATGGAATCTGATTTCCATTTTAAAGCACATGCTGATTTCACTTGCTTGTATTTTTGGGAGCTTTATGAGGAGTGGACTTGGGTTCTCCACCACCCCTGTCTCCGCCCTCTGTGTGGCACTGTCAGCATGCCTTGGTCACCTCCATGGCTCCTGGTGGGAAGAATGTGGCCTAGCTCCTGGGCAGATCATAAAACTTAAAACCGATGGAACAGCCCAGGGGCCCAGAGGGCATCACCCGTTCAACCCTTCCAGGTACAAGTGAGGAAACTGAGGCCTAGAAAGGGGGAGGCCTTTTTCAAGGACACACAGTGAGTGGTGCCTTTCCTTTCCATCTCTGAAGGTGATGGTGTCTCGGGATGTAGTGAGCAGGCTGGTCTTAAGAGTCAGATGTGCAGCTGTTGTGATATTGTGGTGCTAGGGTCCAACACACGTTTTACGGGGTGCCCCCATGGCAGAGGGGTGGCCAGGCCAGTCCGGGAGTGGGAATCAGCAGTGGCTTCTGGAAGGGGGACAGCATGGGAGTTGAATGGGCATGAACAGTGTGGAAGAGAGAAAGCAGGGAGTTTCAGGGGGAGACACAGCTGCCGCAGAGGCCTGGACGAGGCGTGCGGGAGAGTGTGGTCTGGGCAGGGAGCTAGGAAAGGTAGAAGAGGGGACGGCGCATGACGGGTGGGAGGGAGCCTGGACCGTCGGGCTGGCAGGTGGCAGAGGCTCAAGTGAATGCTGTGGCCAAGAATTAAAACTTCTCCCCAGTGGAGGGACTGGGACTCGATGGAGAGTGACTTGGGGAGAGCCACGCAGAGGCCTTACCCATCACGGTCCCCACTGACCCTGCACTGCCTGAGCCAGTTGGTGCTCAGTCAATGGTTGTGGAATAAATGAGTGAATGAATGAGGGAAGGGAAGATGGTGCTGAAGAAGGGGCCTCCAGCTGCACTGGGGCGGGCGGCTGGGAGCAGGGTCGAGCCCACAGGCTCTGACGAAACTGGCTCTTGGTTGGGGATTTTGTCCTTCTGAGCCAGACCGTGGGTCCCTGTCTTCCCTCTTATCACTGGAGAGGTCCATGGGCCTGGCTTCAGTGAGACTCCGGGGACTTAGGGAGTGCCGGTGAGACCAGCTGAGAGCGTGTACGTTGGCATCCCCCACAGCAGAAGCCCAGGGAAAGGCCTCACAGTCGTGAGCCCAATCAGATGAGGTCCTGGCCCTGCCCCTTGGATGGCCTCATCTCGTTACACCTTGACCCACTTCCCAGTCCAGCTCCCGCCAGCCCCAGGCAGTGTCTGCAGCCCTCTTTGAACCATTCCCCCTCATAGCGCCAAATGAAAATGTTTGTTGAAAACAACATGTGCATAATTAAAGCTTAATGAGCGCTTGTCTGTTTGGAATGTGCAATTAGATTTACAATCGGGGATGGGAGAGAGCTCCAAATGGCTTTAAATGGAGCTGAGAGAGAGGATAATTTTTGCCATAAATCTGCAGTAATGCAGACGGTGTGTGAGCTACCAGTGGCAGTACCAGGGAAGGAAGAAATACAGGCCTGCCAGGCCTCCATGCTATCTATGCTAGGGGGCTGCCCTGCCCATCAGGCCAGGCCCTCTGGGCAGCTGCAGCTGGTGAGTGTACTGGGATGGGACTCACTGGTGGTCCTGGGGACAGATCTGCCCTAGGTTGGAGCTGGAGTTCCTGCCTGCAGCTTGTGAGATCTGTGATCCAGCCGACTGTGAGGGGCTGAGGGACTGGTGCGGAGTCCAGCTGCCCAGGTCCCCAGGATCCCATGGCTGGGGAGAGATTCCTGTGTCATCACCATGTTCACCCCCGGCCTGCAAACTGGCTTCAGGGCAGAGCCCTAGACTGGGATGTGGCCCTCTACTTTGTTCTCTGCTGTTTCCCAGTACCCAGAGCATACACAGTAAGGCATGAGTTAGTATTTGTTGGATGAATGAATGCCTCGTTATCAGACTCTTGCCTTCAGCACGTCACTCTCCCTCTGCAAACCCCATTTCTCCCATATCTATCACAGAGAAATGGATTTGGCTACTGCTGATGTCAACTCTTCCGTCCCTGGGGTTCTGGGTCAGGAGCAGACAATGACTAGGGCAGCGTCTAGACCAGCACCATCCAGTAGAAATACAATGCAGGCCATATACATGATTTTAAATTTTCTAATAGCTATGTTCAGAAAAAGTGAAAAGAAACAGGTGACATTAATTTTAATATATTAGTTAACCCAGTATATCCCAAATATTAATATTATTCCAATACATCATCAATATACAAATATTGACAAGGTAGTTTACATTCCTTTTTGTTGTCATCATCGTCATCCTTGCTCTGAAGTCTTTGAGATTCAGTGTGGACTTCACACTTACCCACATCTCAGTTTGGACTAGCCACGATTCAAGTGCTCAGAAGCCACATGTGGTAAGCGGCCACCATTCTAGATGGTGGAGGTCTAGAAAGAGCACAGCTAGAGCCAGGTGGGAGGGGGCAATGATGCCCACCTCCCAGAGGAGCCCAGGTGCCTGGCAGCCCTTACCTGTGGTGCCATAGTGATCACTGCCATTTTTACACTACCCCTCCATGTCTTTTATTGACTGAAATAGGTGGCGCCATCCAAGCCAACTCTCGTTGGCGGTGGAGACAAGGGTTCTGCAGGGGCTCAAAACACTGAGCTTGCTTACAAGGGACATTCCCAGCTCCTGTGGCAAGCAGTGCCCAAAGCGTTGTCCCTGCTTCTGATAGTTAAGGTCCCAGGCCCATAGTCATGAGGTCACCTTCTCTGGTTCACGTGGCTTGCACGCAGTAGGGGTGGGAAGCCA